ACGCGATCCACGCGGCCGTCGACGCGGGCGCCGCGGACGTCGTCGAGCTCCTCCTCGACGCGCTCCTCGACCCCGCGCGCCGCGGCGGCGACGGCGGCGACGACTCCGCGCCGGCGTTGCGGCCGCGCCACTACCGCGACGCGCCCCTCGGCGCGGCGCTCCTGCACCACGCGGCCTTCGCGCGGCGGCCCGCGTGCCTCGCGAAGCTCGTCGCCGCGCGCGGCTTCGACGTCGCCGCGCGGCTCGCGTTCTGGGGCCGGGACGCGACGCCGCTGGAGGTCGCCGTGCGGCGCAACTGCGCCGAGAGCGTCACGCTCCTCGTGCGCGCCGGGGCCGAGCCCGACCGCGGGCTGGCGCTCGAGGCCGCGGCGGCGGGCCGCGGGGCCGCCGCCGTCGCCTTGCTCCGGAGCCTCCTCACCGCGCGGAGCGCCGACTCGCTCCTCGACGCCGACGCCTTCCTCCCGAGCGGCGAGACGCTGCTCCACGCGGCCTGCCGCCACGGCCAGGTCGAGCTCGCGCGGCTGCTGCTGAGCTGGGGCGCGCGCGCGAACGTCCGCTCGAAGCAGGGCGCGCTGCCCGTCCACGACTGCGTCGCGTCGGGCCACGGGGCCGTGACGCGCGTCCTCGCGACCTTCTGCCACGAGTACGACGCCGCCGCGCGCGCGCTCGCCTGGGCGTTCGCAGCGAATGCAATGCGGAGGCGGCGCGAGAGACAGGTGGGGGACGCAGGTGCCTGTTAACTAACCACCCTCCTGGCGGGAGACGCAAGTGCCTGTTAACTAACCACCCTCCTGGAAGTGACGTCGATCCACTAAAAATTCACGTGAGCGCCGCGCAGGAGCACGCGCCCCCCGCGCAGGAGAGGGCGCTCGCCGCCGCGCCGCCCGGGCAGTCGACGCGGAGGAGCGTCGGCGCGTCGTCGTCGCCGCCGCGGACGGCGACGCCGAGGCGGACGGCCTCGTCCGGCGCGCCGTGGAGCACGCGCGCGGAGACCGCGTCCGCGCGGACGTCGAGGGCCGCGAACCGCTGCGGCGCGAGCGCGACGACCTTGTCGACGTCGCCGAGGAACGCGAGCCCCCCCGCGAAGGGCGCGAGCGTCCAGAGCTCGAAGCCGACGCAGTAGCCCGGCGCGAAGGCGCCCGCGCAGCGCGCCGGCCGCGCGTTCGGCCCGAGGCGCAGGGGCGCGGCGCCGTCGACGACGCGGAGCTCGCCGCTGTAGAACTCGCGCGCGGCGTAGGTCTGCGGCGCGCCACCGTCGCACTCGACGGCGCCGCAGGCCGCGGCGAGGTCGGCGACGGTGAGGCGGAACGGCGACGAGAGGTTCGCGGCGAGGACGACGCGGCCGCCCGCGAGGAGCGGCGCCTCCCAGACGTCGTCGACGCCGAGCGCGTCGTCCCGCGGCCCCGCGAGCGCGCGGGGCCAGACGCCGTCGACGAGGAACGCGGGCCGCGCGGGCTTGAGGAGCACGCCGTCCGCGCGGCACGCGCGCGAGACGCGCGTCGCGTTGACGCGCGCCGGGTCGTCGCCGACGGCCACGGGCCCGCCGGTGAGCGCGGCGACGACGAGCTGCAGCTCCGGGTCGGCCTCGCGCGTCGCGTCGCCCCAGGCGTTGCCCGGCTCGGTGTCGCCGCTCGACCAGAGCGCGTCCTTGTGCGGCGCGACGCGATTGCCCGACGCGGCCCACAACAGGAGCGACGTCGCGCCGAGCGCGCTCCACTGCTCCGTGTCGTCGGGCCGGCTCTGGCCGTAGTCGTGGGAGCCGCGCGCGTGCGTGACGACGTCGCCGTGGTCCAGGGCCGCGGCGAGGACGTGGCGGGGCAGCGCCATGCAGTACTGGACCGTGACGTTCGCGCGCCGCGCCGCGAGGGCCATCGCGGCGAGCCACTTGTCCGCGGCGCCGGGGTCGCGCCGCAGCGCGGCGCAGCGCTCGTACTGTTTGGCTAAGAAGTCCTGCTCGTAGGTCGCCATGCCTAGCCCGTCCTTGGCGCGCCGGAAAATGTGGTCGTAGAATCGGACGTCGTCCGAGACGGCGACGGCGCCCTCCTCGTCGCCGCAGTCGAGCCAGGACCAGTCTTCGGCGTCGCGCGGCAGCGCCGGCGCCGCGCCCGTCTTGTACCAGTTTTCCGCGGACAGGTAGCGCGCGTGGAGCACCGTCGGCGCCGGCAGCTTCAGCCAGGCGTCCGTCGAGTCGTCGTCCTCGGTCCGCGCGCCGAGCGTCGACGGCATGGGCTCCCAGAGGAGCGCCGCGGAATCCTTCGGGTCTTTTCGGTAGAACCAGCTGTCGTACTGCATGCTCTGGACCGGTATCGCGGCGCTCGCGGCGCGCCACGCGGACCCGACGGTCGCGCGGTACCCGGACCCGTCGTACGGCGCCGCGGCGAGCGCCTTGTCCTCGAGGCACGACGCGGCGCAGGCGCCGGCGACCGTGTGGTAGTAGTAGAACGCGCCGTTGTCCGTGTAGTACGCGAGCGCGTCGCGGGCGACGTCGAAGGGGGGCGCGGGCTTCGCCGGCGCGCGCGCGCCGCGGAGCAACGCGCCCCAGCGCGCGAGCGCGGCCGACGGCGACCGCGCGGCGACGGCGAGCGTGAGGTGCTCGCCCGTCGCCGGCGGTCTCGCCGCCGTCGCCTGGGCGCCGCAGGCGACGGTCCCCGGCAGCGCGCGCGCGAAGGGCGTCTGGCACGTCGTGAAGAAGTCCGCGACGGGGCTCAGGACGACCGCCGCGCCGCGACCGTCGACGACCACGAGCGGCAGCGCGGCGCCGTCGTCGTCCGCGGGCTTCTTCTTTTTTGAGAGGCGCGCGCCCCAGAGCGCCTCGGGGCGCACGAACCGCGTGTTCTGGAGCTGGATGCCCTCGTAGAGCAGCGCGCCGAGCGGGACCAGGGACCGCGTCCACGTCGGGAACGAGCTCGCGACGTCGTCGGCCGCGCCGGACCCGGGCCAGGTCCAGTTCCCATCGAAGCGCTGCGAGAGCACGACGGCGTCGGGCGCGGCGGCGTAGGCGCGCGCGCCCGTCGTCCAGGTTCTTCCGTCCACTTCGTACGCGAGCTCCTCGGACGCGTACGCGCCGCCGACGGCGTCGCGCCCGGTGCGCTCGCGCGGCGCCGGCGCGCCGAGGGGCGCGCAGGTCCCGTTCACGAAGGCGCAGTCCGTCGCGGCCCAGGTGTCGTCGCCGCGCCGGATCGCCGCGACCTCGGAGCTGAGCCAGCGCGTCCCGTCGACCGCCAGCTCCACGCCGCCCGTCGCGAGCAGCGTCGCCGTGAGCAGCATTGCGAAGCGCTTTTTAGGTTGTTGACGAGCGTTGCGGATATTGTAGGAGCTTCAGCAGCCGCGGCCGCTCCACCGAGCGCTCCGAAGGCCGCTTCCGACGCTGCTCACCTGCGGCAATTGCCACAGCTGTGCACAGCATCTCCACAGCTCAAAAAGGAGCAGAGCAAGGACGAGCCGAGACGATCTGGGCGCCGGTTCTCGCGCGCCGCAATAGTTGCACCAGCTCTCGTAAAGGAATGGAGTCGATCTCGCTCTCGCCCGCGTTCACGCCGCTGCCGGGCCTCGTCGGCGGCGCGCTCATCGGTGCGATCTGTATCGCGCGGCTCCACGCGCTGGGGCGGCTCTCGGGCCTCGCAACGGACACGCTCTTCGTGCCGGGCTTGGTGCTCGGCGGCGCGTACGCGGCCTTTCGCACTTCGCCCGACGCCTTCGTCGAAGGCACGACGCTGCCGACCTGGCGGCTCCTGCTCGCGGGCGCGCTCGTCGGCGTCGGCGTGCCGATGGGCAAGGGCTGCACGAGCGGGAACGGCGTCCTGGGCCTCGGCTGCCTCTCGGCCGCCGGGCTCGTCAACGTGGTCGCGTTCATGCTGGCCGCGGCGGCCGCGGCGACGTGGACGGGCGCGTCGGAGAGCGTCGCGGCGGCGGACGGCGGCGCGCCGCCGCCCTGGACGCTCGCGCTGCCGGCGCTCGCGGGCGTCCTCGCGATGCGGCCGCTCCGGCGCGCGCCGCCGGTCGCGGACCTCGTCGCCGGCGCCGCCTTTGCGTGCGCGCTCGCGCTCAGCGGCATGACCAAGGCCAGCAAGGTGCTCGGCTTCCTCGAGCCGACGCGCCGCGACGGCTGGGACCCCACGCTCGCCTGCGTCATGGGCGGCGCCGTCTGCGTGAGCCTGCCCGGCGTCGCCTTCGGCAAGCTCCTCGCCGCGCACCCGCACGTCCAGCGATGGGCGCGGCGCGACGTGGAACCGGCGACGGCGCTCGGCGGACTGCTCTTCGGGGCCGGTTGGGGGCTCGCCGGCGCGTGCCCGTGCCCGGCGCTCGCCGCCGCCGGAGTCGCGCTCTTTCAGGGCCAGGCGCTCGCCCCGGCCTGCGTCTTCGCGGGGGCCATGCTGGCCACGGAACGCGCCTACGCGGCGGCCACCGCCGCGAAGACCAAGGCCGCCTAGGAAGGCCGCCGACTAAGCAAACGCGCCCGTTTTTACGCCTCCGCGGCCGCGCGGAGCGCGTCGACGTCGGCCCGGTACTTGGCGAGGGCCTCGGAGAGGACGTGGTCCAGCGCGAAGACGACGTCGCCCGGCTCGTCGGGCGCCGGCCGCGAGGACGCGTAGAGGGACCAGAAGAGCGCGGGGCACCGCGACGCGACGGCCGGCGGCGTGAGGAGCCGCGTGCTCGGCTTGTCGCCCGCGAGCTTGCGGCGGTTGCTGCCCGCCTGGCGGTGGAGGATCGCGGCGACGACGGCGATGGACTCCGCGGGGGAGAACTTGCGCACGGACTCCTCCGTCTCCTTCTTCGCGCGCGCGCTCGTCTTCCAGAAGATTTTGAGCTTCGCGGGAGTCTCGACGACGCGCACGAGCCCGGCCTTGGACGCGGCCTCGACGCGGAGCGCGCCCTGCTGCGACACCCACTGCGACGCCGCCGCGCCCATGAGCCCGTCGGACGACTCGTTCGCGTTGACGAACGCGGCCGCGACCGTCGACGCGTCGTCGCCGGCCGCCGCGCCGCCGGAGAGCACGGCGTGCGCGCGGCCGCCTAAAAGCTTCTTGACCTCGGCCTCGTCGCCGGAGCCGTCGTCGACGTAGTCGCCGTCGCCGCCGTCGTCGTCGTCGTCGTCCGCGGCCTTGCGGCGCTTCGCGGCCGCGGCCTTGGGCGCTTTCGCTCGCTTCGCGGGCTTCTTCTTCGCGGCGACCTGCACGTTGACGACGGCGGACGCGTCGAGGCCGACGAGCGACACGGGCGTATGCGGGCCGATGAGCAGCGCGCCGCCGGCGGGGTACGCGCCGTCGGAGAGGAGCGTCACGGGACGGCCGTCGGCGCCGCGGAACGACGCGTGCGCGACGGCGCCCGCGAGCTGCCGCTCCGCGGCGGCGACGAAGTCCGCGAGCGTCGACGTCGTCCGCAGGGCCAGGGACAGCACGCCCGCCGGGCCGCGGCAGCGCAGCGTGAGCGGCGCGGACGGCGGCGGCGCCGGCGGGGCGGCGAGGCTGTTGACCGGCGCGTCGGCGCCGGGCGACGCGGGCGGCGCGGCGTCCGCGGGGGCCGTCTCCTCGGGCGTCGCCTTCGTCCGGACCATGCTCCTCGAAGCGGCGGTGGGTGGGTCGAGGAGTGCTGCAGGCGCGCGGGTCGTCGAGGAGCGCCCTGGGCCGAGGACCTCGAGCTCGGGAGCGCATCAAGTGCCCTGCACGATCTCTGACAGTGCATCGGCTGCCGCACGCTGATGCCGTGCCTCGTCTGCTGCCCAAAAGCATCCTGATGCATGCCGCAATTCACCTGCTGCGCGCGCACCAGCGCCGTCGGCGGCGACGGCTGGCTCGGCGCGCAGGTCGTCGACGTCCTCGCGCGCGACGAGGCGGGCCTCGTCGCCTCGGTGCGCTGCCGCGACGGCCGCTGGGGCTGCGTCAAGATGGTCCGAAGAGAAGCGCTGCTCCGGGACCCGCGGCGCCTCGAGTCGCTGCGGCGCGAGACGCGGGCCCTGCGCGACGGCGGCTTCGCGAGCGATCGCGTCGCGGCGTTCCTCGCGCTCGAGGCCGACGGCGTCGGCGTCTACGCCGTCGCGGAGCTCTGCCCCGGCGGCGACCTCGCGACGCGGCGGCGGCGCTGCGGCGGCGCCGTGCCCGCGGCGGACGTCGCGTGGTACGGCGCCGACCTCCTCGCGGCGCTCGACCACCTGCGGACGCGCGGCTACGCGCACCGCGACGTCAAGTTGGAGAATTGCGCTATCGGGACCGACGGCCGCGCGAAGCTCGTCGGCTTCGGCGCCGTACGAGGGGCGCGCTTCTTTCGCCCGGACATGCCGCACTCTGGTAGGTCGACTTCGGGCTCGCGTCGCCGGCGGGCCGCCGCTGCGTGACGACCTGCGGGACGCCGTGCATGGCCGCGCCGGAGGTCGTGGACCTCGCGCTCCGCCGCGGGGCCGGCGACCGGGCGGGCACCTACGACGGCCACGCGGCGGATCTGTGGTCGCTCGGCTGCGCGCTGCTCGAGGCCGCGACGCCCGGCCCGCTGCCCTGGGACGTCGACGCGGCGCGCGGCGCGACGCCGGCGACGGCGGCCGCGGGCCTCGCGGCCGTGCGCGAGCGGCTCCGCGCGACGCTGGCGCCGCGGCGCGCGGAGGCGCCGGGGGCGGCGCGGGCGTTCGTGGACGCGCTCCTCGTCGTCGACGCGGACGAGCGCCGGCGGACGTCGGCGCGCGCGCCGCGGGAGCACCCGGCGGGTGCGACGCCGCCGTTCGTGCCGTCGTTCCCCGCCTTTGACCCCAGGGGCGGCTCGACGCCGCGCGCCGCGCTCCTCGAGGCGTAAGTTGGTTCATTGAGAAAGTCATTAAGCCGATGATGCATTGATTGCTAACGACATGGGACGCTGCCCGCAAGCATTCTAGCGTCGCGCCGTGAGACATGTTCGCTTCCTGGCGAAGCAAGAAGGCTAAAGGGGGGGCGCTGGCGACGCCCGCGGTGCGCGCACCGGCGCTGCCCGCGCTGCCTGCGCCGGCTCCGGCGGAGGCACCGCGGCACCACGCGCCGCACAAGCTCCGCGCGGCGCTCCAGATCGCGGCGCAGAACTTCGACGACGACGACGACGACGAGTCCTTCGCCGGCGGGCACTACAACGTCGACGGCCGCGAGGCCGTGGTCATGGCGACGCGCTCGCCGCCCGAGGCGCCGTCCCCCACGGACGAAGCTACGGCGGCGACGGCGCGCGACGAGCCGCCGCCGCCGCCCGAGTCCCCGGTCTCGGACGGCGCGCCGAGCGTCCGGGAGCGGCCCTCGGACCCGAGCCCTTCCTTGCCCATCGACGACGACGTCGACGATTGCCGCTACTACGACGGCGGCGACGAGAGCCAGTTCCACGAAGCGCGCTCGAGGCGCCAGCCGTCCGCGGCCCCCGCTCGCCCGTCCGTCGCCGCCGCGCCGGTCGCCGCCGCGGCTCCGGTCGTCGAGGCGGCGCCGGTCACCGGCGAGACCGCGCCGGAGTCCGCCTCCGTGGAAACACCCGCGGAGCAAGCGCCGCGGCGGCGCGTCGAGGAGGAGGAGGAGGAGGAGGAGGAGAGCCGCTGCTACGCCGACGGCGGCGAGACGCGGTTCCACGGCGCCCGCTCCAGGCTCCGCCGGTCGGTTCGCGAGGGCGAGCACCCCGACAAGCGCGAGCCAAACATCGCGGCGGCTTCCGAGGTCGACGCGCGCTCGCCGGCGACGGCCGTTGGAGAAGCCCCGCTCTCCACGGAGGCGACCCGCCGCGAGGGATCCGAAGAGGACGAGGAGGGACGCTATTACGACGACGGCGGCGGAAGCCACTTCCACGGCGCGCGCTCGAGGAGGCGCCGAGCCGCCGGCGAGACGCGGCCGCTCGGCGGCGAGGCCGCGGAACTTTTCGCGGACGCTCGAGCCCCCGCGTCGGATCCGATCGACGACGCCGCGCCCCGCGCGGAGGCGGAAGAGGACGAGGACGAGAACGCCCGCTTCTACGACGAAGGCGGCGAGCGCCAGTTCCACGGCGCGCGCTCGAGGCGACCCAAGCAGGCTCCTCCGGCCGGCGAGGACGCGCGAGTCTTCGATCGTCCCGCGTCGATCCGGGCGTTCTACTCCCCGAGGAGCGTCGAGTCGACCACCGCTCGGAGCGTCGAGTCGACCACCGCTCGGAGCGTCGAGTCGACCACCGCTCGGAGCGTCGAGTCGACCACCGCTCGGAGCGTCGAGTCGACCCCCGCTCGGAGCGTCGAGTCGACCCCCGCTCGGAGCGTCGAGTCGACCCCCGCTCGGAGCGTCGCGGCGCCGCCCGACGACGACGAGCCCGCCCGGTCCTACGACGGCGGCGGCGAAAGCCAGTACCGCCGCGCGGGGTCCGAACCGCGCGAGGCAGCAGCGCCCGCGGCGTCGACGCTGCCCGCCGTGGCGGCGGCGCTCCACCGGCGCGCCTACGACGACGCGACTCGCACGTGGCTCGCGCCGCCTCCCGCGGCCGCGCCGTGCCTCTGCCCCGAGGTCGACGCGCCGCCGCCGCGCGTCGAGACCGACGAGGTCGTCTTCTACACGCCGCTCCGCGCCGCGGACGACGTCTGCCTCGCGGCGCTGCGCCGCGCGCAGGAGGGCTACGACGAGGACGCGCCCCGCGCGCGGCCGTCGCCGCGAGGCGCGCGGCCGCGGCCGTCGACGGCGGAGCGGCTCCCCGCGCTCGACGGCGCCGCGGCGCGGCGGCCCGCGACGGCCGGGCCCTGCTCCCCCGGCGCGCCCCTGGACCTGTTCCTGCCCGGCGCGCTCGCGGGCCTCGAGAGCGCCGTCGAC